CATTGCTTCCCTCATCACCTCTCTGATTCTTTGGCCTCCACACCGTGTTCAATCTCTTACATTTGTCCCTTTCTTTGCGTTTATTGGTTCCACTTCCCAAACTATTAAAACCTGCTTAAGTTTTCTAACTGCTGTTCTGTAGAACTAACTGCCTTTAGTCTCCCCAAGTTGCAATTTATCCTATACCTTGCTGCTGAAATTATTGTACAAATTAATGCAAGCTTTGCCTTGGAAGTAGGGTTAAGGAGGAAAAGCTTGAGGCCTACCTTTTATAGGGCATTCAGACCACTTCACCCAGCAAGCTTCAGGGACTCCTCACAAACTACCTTAATTGATGTTTGAGGGTTCAATCTAATTATCCACTCCTCCCTTACAATATGCAAACCTAATCAATTGGTGTTCATCATTTTCAGAAGATAATGTACTCATTTCTGGGTCTCCACTAAGCCCCCCCACCCCACCTGCCCTGGCCCCTCAGTCCAACTCTTCTCTAACCTAACACACATTGCTTTGTTCTCTTTAGTATGTGCTTTCTCTGCCCAAAATATTGTCAGCAATCCCTACATCCAGTAATGGGCCTTTTTGCTCTTTGTAAACTGAAGTATATTAAAGTTTACTGTCTTCTAAGCACTTTACATACATTCTCGTATTTTCACAAGCCAGGAGATATGTAGTTTTAACATCTCCATTTTAGAAGTTAATTTGCCCAAGGGCACAATTAAGTGGCAGGATCCAAATTTTAACTCAGGTCTAATGCCAGAATTTGGGCTCCGTTCAGTAACTGCTGCCTGCCCCCACAGCGCGTGTGAAGTGCATGGCTGACCCCAATCTTACCTCCAGGGGCTCTCGGAAGCAGGCCTCTACCTCAGGAAAGAGCAGATGCACTAAAGAATAAGCCTCAACAACTATTTATTGTGGAAAATACTACCCTCCCACAGGAATTTCTCTTTGTTACTGATCTCCCATAATGCCTGAGGTCTGAACTACACATTTTGGCATCTATTGTCTCGTACTGTCGGTTCTTTTGTTGTCTTTGCCTAATGGTAGAGAATTGTTCTTCTTTTCTCAGGTCCAGTCTAGTTCCACTGGCTGATGACAGGAAGTTGCAGGGCCTTTACTGCAGAATCTTCCTTCAATACGCAATAAATAGCTTTGGGGGTGAGAATCTGCATTTTTAATACCCCTGGTCATTCTCAGACCTTTAGTCAATGGACCACTCTATAGTCCTGCCTGTGAAGACTGCCCCATCAGGCAGGTTCATTTCTTGATATAGTGATTTCTCTAAATATTGCACATAGCTGAAGGATTGGAAGCTGGGTCTCTCGTTTCTGTATATGCCACAACATCCTGACAGGCAAGTTACCACAACTGCACGTCTGACATATCCATCCCCCACGGGTACCATTCCTGCCACCCACACAAGACCCCACTGTCCCCACCACCACCCGGTAGCTGTTACCCTCCCAAGCTCTCAGACCCACCCTTCCCCATAGCCCCTGCTCCAGCCCTTTCCTCCCCTCAAGCTTCTGCCTCTCCCTCCCTCCTCCAGCCCCTACCCTTCCCTCCTCCATACCTTTCCCTGGCCCCTGGTTTTCCACGTTTAAACTGGTTAGATGGAAAGATGGAACACACTGCCATTCGTTAGAGAGCCTACTGAATGTGCACACATCTTCTATTTGGGAAAACCCTGTTTCCTACCAGAGAAATAAGCAGAGGCCTCTCTCTGGAACTCGGCTGGAGAATGTCACTTGCGCGGAGAGCCCGGGTCTCTGCAAACGTCCCAAGGTAGGCCCAACCTGCCATGTTCCTTTGTTGGGGCACAGAAGGGCTGGAATCTTACCAATAATGTGAGAAAGGCTTGAGAGAATACCAAGGACGGGCCCACCCGTCTCCCTCCTCCCCACGAACACCTAACAGGAAAAGGGGGGGTAGAATAAAAAGCACCAACAAGAGTTTAAGATAGTAGTTCCCAGCTTTTTCAAATATGAAGCAATTTTTTTTAACCAATCCATTTTTTAATTCTTAAATTCTTGACATTACAGAACTAAACTGAAATTTATTAACATTCCACTCTTACATTTCTTATCGACAAACAGAAATAAAACTTATGAGCCAAAAAACCCAAACAAAACTAAAAACAGGGAAAAGCTTATAAAACTAAATATGGATCCCAGCATTAACAGCTGAACAGAAAATGTGATTTTTAAATTCTTAGCAGATGATAAAGTTATGTAGAAACTGAACACTTACAAATTATTTAGAACCTGGAATCACTGACCAGAAATTACACAGCTGGATCATGGGAAAACAGCAGAAAGGGGTTATGAGTGAACCTACACTGTTCTAGCTGCACCCCATGCCCTTCTCAGAGGAAAGCCTGGCATTAATTAGATACTGGGCCAGGCTAATACTGGCAGCAGAACCAGTGATAGTAACCTGCCTACCAGAAGAGCCTTCCACTGGGTTGGCAATTTTGATCTGGGCCCCCGACATCTGGCGGATCTCATTGATGTTGGCGCCCTGGCGCCCGATTATGCAGCCAATTAAGTTATTTGGAATGGTGAGTTCATGGGTGGTTTGAGTAGATGCATCCAAACTTGCCCAATAGCCTTTCACCTCTGGAGAGCTGGAGTCAATTCCGGCGAATCCGGTCCCGCCGTGCAGCATGGCAAAGTGAGACTGTTGTCTTGCCACCTGGTTCAGCTTGGCCAGATCGAGCGGAGAAATGGTGTGTTGTCCTTGAATCGAGTAGGCGTCTAGAGGTGGTCCCTCCAGGTCATGGGTGGCGTGGGGGTAGCCCGCAGCGTCGCTGCAACGATCTTGGCCGCCGGCACAAATGACTGGCGAGGTGGCCGGCATGGGCTGGTACGGAATGGTCATGACTCTCCCTTGCGGAGACTGGGAGAGCGTCTCCAGCATGACCAGGCAGATCTGCTTGACACACTCGGTGACAGACTGCGGCACGCCAGCAATGGTGATGGCCCGCTCGGTGGAGTTGGGCAGCATATCCCCCGCCACCTGGACCTGGGCCCCCGTGCTCTCGCGGATCTCCTTGATCTTACACCCGCCTTTCCCAATCAGGGAGCCGCACTGGGTGGCTGGCACCACCAGCCTCAGGGTGACCGGGGGCCTGCTGGCCGCCGTGCTGTTGGTCATGGAGCTGTTGATATCTTCTTCCAGCTTGTCGATGATCATAGCGAAGGCCTTAAAGATGGCATTGGTGGGCCCGGTCAGAGTAATGATTCTCTCGGGACAATTCCCCTCCGAGATGTTGATCCGCGCGCCACTCTCCTCGCGGATCCTCTTAACCGACTCCCCTTTCTTCCCAATGATGCTTCCTACTTCCTTTCCATGCATAAGAAGCCGAATGGTGAGAGTCACATTTAGTCCACTTTCAGTCACACCGGCATCCATGGCGAGCGGCGGGCGGCGTTCGGGGGAGTTGGGCTCGTTACGTGGTCAAGTCTTTGGTGGCTGGCGGGGGGAGGGGAGGTGTAGGCCCAAAACTGCCGGCGCGAGGCGAGCGAGGGCCGCGGGAGCGAGCGGGTGCGGGC